TAGGAGCAGGGCTGAGCCCTCTGCTGCTGAGCAGGGCTGGGGCCAGCTGGGACACTCCTTTTCCATGCCCTGCTCCAATCTGGAAAACACCCAGGTGGGAATTACTGCTGCCAGGGGCAGCAAACCCCCGGGAGCTTTGTGCCAGCTCCACACTCTGGATGGAGAGAAGGAGGACCAGGTGTGGTGGGTGGCAAGGAGGGAACCTGACAGCATTTCCTTCCTCAGCTCTCTGCAAGTGCAGCATGGTTTCCTTTATCAAATTTTGCTTTTCTTGTCTCCACAACCCCTGTGTGCCAGCACAAGGCTGTGCTGGGGGTGCTTTCCACTGTGGGTGACAAGGACACCTCAGAGCTGCCCCAGAAACGTGGCAGAGCCACGTGGGTGCCGGGGGTGGCAGCAGGATGCTGTGGCTTCCAGCAGCTGCCCACACAAACAACGTGAGCCCTACTAATGCAGACAGGGGAGGAAATTGCTGGGGGCTGGGGCTGTGCTGGGGGTTGGGGCTGTTTCTGGGCCAGGCAGGGTGGATTTGAGGGCATTTGGGTGCTGGGGGCATGGCCCCCTGTGCCCACTGGGGGCTGCAGTTCTTGTCATGGTGTCACAGAATCACAGAATATCCTGGAAGGGACCCAGCAGGATCAAAGTCCAGGTCCTGACCCTGCACTGGACCCCCAAGTTAAAACTAATTTGTTAAGACAGATAAAACCCCAAATCTGGGATGTCCCCAGAGCCAGTCTGGACAATCCCAGCCCTGCAATCTCCCACCATGTGATGTGTGCGGGATGTCCCCAGAGCCAGCCTGGACAATCCCAGCCCCTGCAATCTCCCACCATGTGATGTGTGTTCCAACTCTCCCATCTCCCCCTCCTGCCCACACAACAGTCCCACAAATGATGGACAGAGGGGTCTAAACCCTTTCCATGACTCCTGAAGGCTCTTAATGAGATTCCTTAATGAGGGTGTCCCGCAGACCCACATCCAGCATTTCCCCATAGCCACGTGTGTGTTCACAGACATTCAGAACACCAACAGAGAACAAACCCCCCCACAGGGATGGCCCTGGGAGCTCTGGAGCCCCTCTGGGACCCCAAACTCCCTAATGAGCACTGCACGAGCAGCAAAGTCCCAGGAGAAGCCTGCAGGCAGCCCTGACCTCCAGGGCTGGGCACCACTGCCAGCCCAGGTGAAGGAGTGTAGGAGGATGCCCCCCGTGAGAGAGGGGCAAACTAGCCTTTGTCCCCCAAAAAAGGAAGGAAGCCCAGAAGTTTCTCCCAATGATCAGGTGAAAAGCCACCTTATAGGACCCCTGAGACATCCCTAAAACCTTGGGGTCACCTAATTGGATAGAAGCCAAAAAGTCCCACCTAGGCCATAAGGTAGAAAAGGAGAGAACAAAAGCACCATGAGGCTTTTGTGAAGGTGTTTCTACCAGGAGCAGACCTCTGTACCTAGCTCGGATTTTCTGTTTATTGTTTTTCCTTTTGTTAAACCTTTCTGTTTCTAACACTGCAGCAGAAGCCATCCTGCTCATGATTTACCTCCAAAGGTAATAGCTAAGTTATCCTTGGGTGTATTAGGTTCCCTTTTAAGGGCTCATAAAACCCTAGCTTGACAAAACAGAACCTAATACCCAGGGCTGCTCTGTCCTCAGACTGCCAGCATCCCTTGTCCTCAGACTTCCTCCCTGCCAGGCTGCAAACCTGGCTGGGATTTTGTGAGGTTTGCTCTGAGGAGCCCAGGAAGGGCTGCTGGCCACTCTTGGTTTATTCTGCTGAATGTGATGAGGAGCAGCACAAAAACAATGGGTTGAGATGATGCTCCTGGAGCTGGCAGGGGTGACAGTGGGGCACAGGGCAGTTCTCTGCCTGGGGGCACCATGGCAGGAGACAATTCCTGCTTTTCCATGTGCTCAGGAAGCTGTGGGTGCTCTGGTTCAAGGTTTTAAACAACAACACAGTGTTGGTGTGTCCTCAGGGCCTCTGGTGGCCACCAGTGCCCATGGGCAGTGCCTGGCACCCAGGGGCAGCCCTGGCAGGAGCTGCCCCAGCTTTCCCAGCTGATGGCTTTTGTTTTCCACCCCCCTGGCCCTTTCTGCCAGGGAAGGGTTTGTGGGCACTGCCATCTGAATGCCAGCGGGGTGAGTAAGAGCCAAACCCTGCTGGGGCCAGCAGCTGTCCCACCCTTGGCCACTGGGCAGTGTTTGGTGACATTATCTCCCCAGATAAGCTTTTTATGTGTGGTTTTTGGTTTTGTTTTAGCCATATAGAAAGTTCCAGGCGTTCAGACACGCCCAGGAGGCAGGAGCTGTCGTGCCCAGGGTGGGAGGAGAGAGCTGGGTCTCTGTGCCACCTTGGGGGCACCTAGGTACCTGGGCAGGAGAGGCTGCTCCTGGTTTGTCAGACCCAAAATGCTTCCAGATCCTGCTGTGGTGAACACAGGATTAAGATGAGCCATGGGAAAAATCGAAGTGTCCACCCTTTAACTTGATTGGACATTCTCTTATAAATTTCAATTTAATGTTGCCTTTTGCAAAGGTTTTTTGAAAAGGAAAGGTTTTGTGGTGTCTGCATGCAGGCCTTTTTGGTTTTGTTAAACATGTTTTATTTAAACTGTCCCAAAGGTTTTCAGAGGTAGTGAGAGCAAGTTCCTTTCTCTTTCAACCCAGCTGCCCAAATCTGTTCCTGTGTGTGCAGCCAGAGCATCCCGTGGAGCTGGGACTGAGCCCAGGGGGTTCTGAGCTCCTTGCCTGGGGTTGATTTGGGGTTGGGGGCTCTGCCTGTGGCTGCCACTCCATTGTGTGGCTCAGATAACTCAGGGATGGAGCTACCAGTGACTTTTGGGGTGGTTGTGATGGACTGGAGACTGAAACATTGATGGTGGATGTGTGGAAGCTTTGATGTGGCACAGGAACCCTGTGTCCCCCCAGCTGCCCCGGCTGAGGAAGTCCCTGGATTTCTTGTGCAGAGGAAATCATTAGAAACAGGATGTTTGCTCCAGGCTGCTCCCTGCACACCCACAGGGCCCCGAGCAGCAGCAGCAGGAGGTGTGGGTGCTCCCGGCTCACACACAGCTGCTGATGTCACCAGCCTGCCTCGATGGCAGAACGCTCTGCAGGCTGGCCCTGCTCCTGGAAGGAAGTGTGCTCGGAGGATGATCTGGGAGATTGCCAGCTCTGGTTGTTTAAACAGCGTTTTTGGGGCTGAAACGAGCTCGTTATTTTTTTAGCTGCTCCACTGGACCATGTGGCCACACCCGGAATTATTCTTTGGCATCTCTGTCCTCGTTGAAAATGCACATTTGGAAGGTTCCCAGTGCCCAGCTGCAGCCTGCTGGGCCTGGATAACCACACAGGGTCACGCTGCTCCACAGGGACTGATGCTCCTCGTTTTCTCCCTGCCAGGCTGCAAACCTGGCTGGGATTTTGTGAGGTTTGCTCTGAGGAGCCCAGGAAGGGCTGGTGGGCACTCCTGGTTTATTCTGCTGGGATGAATGTGATGAGGAGCAGCACAAAAACAATGGGTTGAGATGATGCTCCTGGAGCTGGCAGGGGTGACAGTGGGGCACAGGGCAGTTCTCTGCCTGGGGGCACCATGGCAGGAGACAATTCCTGCCTTTCCATGTGCTCAGGAAGCTGCTGGTGCTCTGGTTCAAGGTGTTAAACAACAACCAAGTGTTGGTATGTCCCATTGATGCCCTGCTGGCCCCATCCCTCCTGCCACACTTCCCCCTGGAGCTGTGCCAGGTGGTTCTCCTGGTTTGGGAATGGTTCAGTTGTCTTCCCAAATGCTTCTCTCCACCTGCCTGTTTCAGCCCTGGCCCCTGCTTATTCTCCTCCATTGGTGCCTCTGTCACCTCTGTATGGGTTTGTCCCCTCAGTTTGTCCCTCTCTGGCTCCCTGGACCTGGGCTGACTGTCCCAGAGCAGCTCCAGCTTTGCTGCAGCCCAGTCCTGCTCCTGCTCCTCCTTTCTCCCAGCAGGTGATAGCTGCCCTTCCCTTGCCCATGCATGGGATCTCCAGGGTGGGATGGGGCTTTCCTGGAGCTGCAGGATCAAACCATGGGAAATGGAGCTTGAACCTTCTCCCCTCAGCTCCTGGGCCAGTGCTTGGAGCTGCTCTGAGCAACGTGACCCCCCTTGAAGGGTTTGGAGAGCTGAGCTGTAAACACTGCTCGGGCCTGTCCTCGGAGTCACCCCTGGCATTTCACCACTCTGGAATGCTGCCCTGTGCCACCTCCACAAGGAGCAGAGCTTGTTGGAGAGGTGAAGCATCTCTTGTCCCCTGTAATCCCTGGCTGCTTGAAATTGTAATCAGTTTATCTGAGCAGCCCCAGAGGGGAGCAGGGAATTGAGGGCGGCTCTGGCTCAGCCTGTGCAGAGCTCAGGGAGAGGATCTGCATCCCTGAGGTGCTGGGGGCAGCTGGGAGGGATGGCAAGCAGATGTGTGGGACTGGCAGGGCTCTCCACATCCCTGGGGAAAAACGGCAGCATCTGGGGAATGTGCTCACCCTGTTTATTGACACACTTTCCCCTCCAAGTGCTCAAAATAAGAGAGCAATGAACTACTGAGCAATGCGTGGAAATAAAACCAGCTAAAAAAAAAAACCTACCCTAAAGACACGAGAGCCCTCCCCATCCCTCATTTGGCAGGGAAAACCCTGCCTGAAGCCTCTGAGCCACGTCAGCTCACAGCTATGCCAGTTATCCCACCCTGCTGGCAGCGCTGCTCCAAAGGCAGGGGAAGGGGTGGAATCGGGGGCACCTCCACATCCTGAAGCTCTGCTGGGGTGGGCATCAGGTACGGGGGTGTCCTGGGGAGGGACACCCTACTGGAGGGTCCCTGGGAGGTGGGCAGAGGGTGGCACCTGACCCCGGGCTCGGAGCTCCTTGCAGTGCCCAAGGGGACAGAGCTAAGGCAGGGAATGAAAGCCAGCTTTCCTCCTCTTCCCTCCCTTTGCCCAGTGAGCCACAGCCTGGCTTTAACTCTCCCTTTGCTCCCCCAGATCATGATCGAGTTCTGCCCGGGCGGGGCCGTGGATGCCACGATGCTGGGTGAGTGACGGGGCGATGCCCACTGGGCATTTCCAGCCTCCTGGCACCAGGAGCAGCCCTCAGACAGATGGCAGGCGTGGGTGCCACTGCTGCCCTTTCTGTCCCAGGAGTTTCTCCATTTCCATCCCCTGAGCAGAAGGTGTGGCAGCCCTGGGGGAGTTTTTGAGCCAATTTAATGTCCTTTTGTGATTTAAGCTGCTGGGATCAGCAGGGGTGGGGAGAAGGGAGAGCGGCTGCAGGGGAAAGCTGAATTTCAATGTTTATCTGCTGGGGGCACTGGGATCCCGTTCCCACAGCTCCCAGCAGGGCTGAGATGTTGAAGCTGGGTGCCTGTCAAGGTGAATTTCCCCAGATGTTTTTGCTGACTGCTCCGTATGGTATCGGTCACTGGCTGAGGCACAGAGCTCTGTGAGCTGCAGTTTGCAGCAATCCCAGAATCTCCCCTTTTCCAACTCCTCCCTCCCACGCAGAGACAGCTGCTGGGAGGAGGGATGGGTGGCTGCACCCCAAAAGAGCCCTGGCTGGTGGCACAGCCCCCCTGGGTGACATCCCCTCTGCACGGCAGATGTGACACTCTGACATCACCTTGCCTGGAGCCTGGGACAGAGCCACATCTCCCTGGGGGTGACTCCTTGTCAGCCTCCCAAAGGCCTCACTTGCTTTTTATTTCCAAATTTATCATCTTTAACTCAGCCCTTAAACCTTGTCCCTCCTTTAGGGAATTTCTTTAAAGCTGCTCCAAATCATTGTGTGAAAAAATACCTTTCCTGAAGTGCTGGGGGGGATGATGCCTTCCCCGTGGAAAAACCTCAGCAGGGGGGTTTTACCCATCTTTTGGGACATAAAAACACTCCGAGTATTCATGGCTCCTCTCTGGAGAAGCTGGCACGGGCAGCAGAGAACACCAAGAGAGAGCAGCCTGGCTGTGGCTCTGTGACCCCTGAGTGAGGGTGAGGAGGAGCTGGAGCTCAGGAATGCTCCCAGAATTAGACAATTCAGAATTAGTAAACCCCAGAATTCCAGAAATGCTGAATGCTGCCTGTCCCACCTCCCCATCCCCACCTGCAGCTGGGGTTTGCCCTTATGGACAAAACTTGAAGCCCACTGGAACTTGGTTTTGCCAGATGGAGGGTGAAAATCATCAGCTTTTCCCAGAGCAGGGGAGATACTGCTGAGGAAAGGAGGAAGCAAGCGGCTGACCCAGCACCCCCAGGCTGTGGCTAAGATCCTTGCTCTGAACAAACATCTGTCCCAGCTGCTGGGGTCCCGCCACCAGCCCCATCTGGTGCTGGCTGAGCCCTGCTCTGCTCTGCTGGAGGAGGGATCTGCACTGCAGAGGCCCTGCCAAGGAGGGAGGGCAGTCAGGAGGTGCTGGCCATCTGGAGGGGGATGCTCTGCAGAGCTGTCACCCTGGCCTGGTGGAGGTGGCCCAGCAGAGCTCAGCAGGGAGGTCACGCTGTCCCTGTGTGCACCAGAAATGGAATCACTGAACCACAAAACATCCTCAGCTGGAAGGGACACACAAAATCCAGCTCCTGACCCCGCACAGGACAGCCTCAAGAATCCCATCATGTGCCTGAGAGTGTCCAAACACTCCTTGAACTCTGGCACCGGTGCTACCCAAAACACCAGCTCCGAGCAGTGGCAGGGACAGCCCTGCTGAGCATTTAAATCGTGTTCCTTTGGGAAGTGCTGTGGCCCTGCTGGTGTTTAGGGGGCTGCCCTGCACCCCCCCAGCAGGGATCATTCCCTGGCTCCCTGGGGAGTGAGGGCTGCTGGTGTTCATGCCTGTGGCTGAGCCCAGTGCAGCTGGCTGAGACCCAGCTTGTCTGTCTGCCCAAATTGTCAGGGAATTTGCAGTTCAGACCCCATCCCAAGCATTTCTGGCTCCCCCTCCTCATCCCCCTCACCCCACTGTTCCAGTGAGCATTCCCAGGAGGGAGCAAGGAGCCAGCAGCTCCAAGAGCTGGAAATTCTGCTGCAAGTGCTGGCTTAGGGGATAAATCACCTTTACAGGCTGATTTCCATCATCCCCTGCTGCTCTGACACAGTGGCTTTGCCAGGCTCTGCTGGGCCTTCCTGCTGCTCAGGTGAGCATCCCTTTATCCCTGCCCTGTCTGAGCTCCCTGTCCCTCCCTGCAGAGCTGGACCGGGGTCTGACTGAGCCCCAGATCCAGGTGATTTGCCGCCAGATGTTGGAAGCTCTGCACTACCTGCACAGCAAAAGGATCATCCACAGGGACCTGAAGGCTGGCAACGTGCTCCTCACCCAGGATGGGGACATCAAGCTGGGTGAGTCAGCCCCTGGCACCACCCCCAGGGACAGCTGGAGCTGGATTTGTGGGGTTTGGGTGCCCCTGAGTGTGCTGGGGTTGAGGGATGCAGGAGGAGCAGCAGGACGAGGAGGGGAAGGTTTGGTTCCAGGGAAAGGCACATGGAGCTGAGCCCCCAGGGCGCAGCCAGCTCAGGCCCCCGATGGATTTTCCTTCCCTGAGTTTGTTTCATCCCTCTCTGAACCCCATTTCGGTGCCTTTTGGCCTGCTGAGCATCCTGAGCTGGGTGCCAGTTGGCAGGGCTGGGAGCTGGAAGAATTCCTCTTATCTGCACAGCAGCTTTGGTGCTGACAGGGGCAGCGTTGCCAAAGGGTTCCTTTGCCAGCTCGCTCTGCTCCGGAGTTAAATTGGCACCCAACGACCTGCTGGGGGAGGAGAGAGTGGATTTGTCTGCAGGAGGGTGACCCCGAGGCAGGGACACCCTGAGCTCGGCTGGGGATGGGTGACAGCTCCTCCAGCTGCCACCAGGGCTGTGCTGGAGAGCAAACCCACCTGGAGTGGGCTCAGTGCCCCCCGCAGGTCTGACCAGTTCAGTTTGGGCTGAGCTCAGAAGGCACAAAATCGGGGAGAGGCATCTTGCAGTGGCTGGGAGAGAAGGAATGGAACAGCACTTTGGTTTTTCTGCTCTAAAATCAGGCTTTTTCTTAGGAAATAAGTCCTGAAATCTGCCACAGAGGAATGGAACAGCACTTTGGTTTTTCTGCTCTAAAATCAGGCTTTCTGCTAGAAAATAAGTCCTGAAATCTGCCATGGAGGAATGTAACAGCACTTTGGTTTTTCTGCTCTAAAATCAGGCTTTTTCTTAGGAAATACATTCCTCCATAGCAGATTTCAGGAATGTAACAGCACTTTGGTATTTCTGCTCTAAAAGCATGCTTTTTGCTAGGAAATAAGTCCTGAAATTTGCTATGGAGGAATGTAGCAACACTTTGGTTTTTCTGCTCTAAAATCAGGTTTTCTGCTAGGAAATAATCCTGAAATCTGCCATGGAGCTGCTTTTGTTTGCAGAAAAGAGCTCCATTTCCTCCTAGATGTGTAAGGTTTCGTAGGGGGGGTTGTTGTGCCTGTTTTTTTAGTAAATGGGAGAGGAAAATCCTGGGGGTCATGTACCCCAAAGCAAGTTCAATTCCTGATGCTCAGCTCGGAGGACACAGCTCATGGCATCACGTTCTTGCCTCCAGTGTGTGCTGTTTGCTTTCCAGGCTGTCTCAGCCAAGTGTGCTAACTGAGAAGGGTTTTTCAGCTTTCCTCTGGCCTCTAATGTTAGTGCTCTTTGCAGCTGACTTTGGAGTGTCTGCCAAGAACATGAAAACCTTGCAGAAGCGAGATTCCTTCATTGGGACCCCTTACTGGTGAGTCCCCAGCTCATGAAGGGCTTCAGTGCTGAAAATCAGGTTTGCTCTGAAGCTTTGGGGTGTGTTGGACCACGGTGCCTCAGGGTGGGACGATCTCAATGAGGATTCTTGGCCATTTTCTGCACATTCAAGGGTTTTTTGTGCCTGTGAGCAGCCTCAGTGGTGTGGGAGCTCTGTGTGCTGCTGAGGGGTCACAGTGCTCCAGGCTTGGAGCGAGGGTCACACGAGTGTGCTCTCCCTGCTTCCCTCACCCCGGGGGTGAGATGGGCTTTGAAGCCACTCCAAGCACATGGGAACGAGTCCCTGCCCCAGAAACACAACCTCTAAATCACCCGGCCTGCTGAAGGAGTGGAATTGCAGGCATTAATTGATGCTCTGAGGCAACATCCGCGCCAGATGTCAACGGCCTGGGGGTTTTCTGTGGAGGAGGGAGGGGGCTGCACCCTGGGGAAAAGATGCTGTTTCTTCTGAAACCCGGAGCTGGGGGGGAAAGCTGTGTTTTCTACAGCACTGGGGAGAAAATCTGTGTTTTCTGCAGCTCTGTGGGTTATTTGAAGGGTTTAATTGCTGCTGCCAGGCGTCACCCCGGCCCCGCTCTGCCCTTCGCAGGATGGCCCCGGAGGTGGTGATGTGTGAGACCATGAAGGACACTCCCTACGACTACAAGGCTGACATCTGGTCCCTGGGGATCACCCTGATCGAGATGGCCCAGATTGAGCCACCCCACCACGAGCTCAACCCCATGAGGGTCCTGCTGAAGATCGCCAAGTCCGACCCGCCCACGCTCAGCTGCCCTTCCAAATGGTGAGGGGCAGCCCAGGGGGCATCTCCCAGCTCCCACACGGAGAAAAACCAGATGGTTTTAGCAGTTTCCTTTCATTTGAGTAGGGTTTTAGCTGTATTCTGGGTCCAGCTGTGTGCAAGGGGCTGGGAAGGCACTGCTGGTGAGGGCAGGATGCTCACACTGCTCACAGTGTCCAGGCAGCACAGGGAGAGCTGCTGCTCACCCACAGACCCCCCCAAAAAAACAGGGGTGACCCCTTGGCTGGTCTCAAAACAACCTGTGTGTATGAAAGGCAGATTTTTCTCTAAAGCTGGAGATGGCCAAGAGCTCCAGAACTGCTTTCCCTGAAGTCTGGAAAGCCAATTCTGCATGTAAAAGAAAACTAGCCAGTTAATTTAAAGAAAACTAGCTAGTTGATTTTTCTTAATTTATTTATGTCATTAATTTACTTATTTCTAAATCATAGAAGCTGCTGCAGATCAGCCAGCAGCAAATTACTGGCAGAGCCCTGGAGTCCCAGCATTGTCACAGCAGTCCCAGTCATTGTCACAGGCAGCAGGCAGGGTGGCAGCTGCCCAGAAGCCAGAAGTGACATCAGGGTCACGCTCTGGAGCTCAGAGCTGCACTTTGCAGGCTGAGGGTGCCCTCCTATGGGGTTCCTGGTCCTTCACAGCCACCCTTTCCCACTGGGGCTCCTTGTCCCCGAGCAGCTCCTGCCATGGGCTCCTCTGGGGGACAGCTGCTGTGTCCTGCCCTGCCTCTGCACAGGGGCTGGGCTCAGCCCCCACCATCTGCTGCCAGCACAGCTAAAGGCAAAACCTGGTCCCTGACCAGGCCCTGTTGCTGCTTCTCATACAAATAATCAGAATTCCTGAGCACAGGGTTTCCCATGGGAGCAAAATGCTGATTATGGCCAGTTGCAAGCTGGGACAGAACCTGCTGAGGGATCAGGCTGATCCCTCTGCTATTTGAGGCCTTTCCTGTGCTGAATTTCTCACCACCAGCTGTGTTTTAAGGTCCCTGGAGTTCAGAGATTTCCTGAAGAAGGCGCTGGACAAGAACCCAGAGACCCGGCCCAGTGCTGCCCAGCTGCTGGAGGTAGGACCAGAGCAGCGACCCCAGACTGGATTCACATTATTTCTGTTTAGAAAGTTCATAGCACTTTTCAGCCACTAAAACTCTCCAAAAAGGATCAGCAGTGTTCTTCCCTTTGGAGCAACCTGCAGAGCCCCTGTGGACACCACCTGGAACAGAAGCAGCTCCTGTGGCAGCCAGCTTGGGCTGAACCTGGTTAGCTCTGACGGAAATTCAATTCCTTTCCTCCCGTCCCTTCCCAAAATCACAGCAAACACCTGGAGGTGCTGTTCCCTGCTGGCTGCACTCTGTGCTGGTGCACAGAACACAGGGACCCCCTGCCTTTGGTGCAGCTCAGCACCAGCACTGTGAGCAGTGTGATTCCACTGTGAGCACTGTGATTCCAGCCCCATTCCAATTTAACCTCGCCCCAGGCTCTCCTTGCTCCCAGGGATCCTGCAGACTGCTCTTGGTGACATTCTGTGGGCAGATGTCCCCTTGTTTCAATGCTGCTGCTGCATTTTTGGGGGGGAGCTGCTGCCATAAAGCAGTTTTGGGGAACATCTGAGGTTCAGTGTGCCCTGAACCTCAGCCCCACTTCTGTGAATTCCTCTGGGGGTAAATCCCAGTGACACTGCAAGGAACCACAGCCTCGGGTCTCTGAAAGCCAAAAGTCATCCTTGGGCTCACAAGGTGTGACTTTGGCCAGCTGACATTTTCACTGTGCTTGGTTTTCAGCACCCCTTTGTCAGCAAGGTGACCAGCAACAGGGCCCTGCGGGAGCTGGTGGCCGAGGCCAAGGCTGAGGTCATGGAGGAGATCGAGGACAGTCGGGATGAAGCAGAGGAGGATGACTCCTCGGAGTCTGCCTCGGTGAGCAGCTTCACCACGGTGGCTGTGCTGGGGGAAAGAACCTGGTGGTTTTTTCAGCTTCCAAATCTGGTTTGGGTCACATCAGGTGGAGGGGGAGTGGTTGCTTGGCCGGGGAGGGGCTGGGTTTTGGTGGCTGCCAAGGGCATGGAGAAATAATGGTACTGGGGGGAGCCCAGTGCCCCTCACAAGAGGGGTTCATGAAAAGTTGCAGGAATGTAGGAGAGTGCCCCCTAATGACAGAGTGGCAAAGCTAGCCTTTGTCCCCTAAAAAAGGAAAGAAGCCCAGAAGTTTCTCCTAAGGATCAGGTGAAAAGCCACCTTATGGGACCCCAGAGACTTCACTAAAACCTTGGGGTCACCTAATTGGATAGAAGCCAAAAAGTGATTAAAAAACAAAAGGAAAAGGGAAAAAAAAGAAAAAAAGAGAAATAAGACCCTGATGCAGGCTGGAGAAGGTGGAGTGGAAGCAAAGCCAGCAGCAGTGGAGGGACCACTGGCCCAAGGAGGGAGCTGGGCAGATCTGCCCCTGGGCTTGGATCTTTGAAGGAGACATCTCAGAGCTGCTTGGGGACATGTCTTGACCTCCCTTCTCTGTCACAAAGGGAAGTGGCTCATCCACAGTGGAGTTAGCCATGGGAAAAGGAGTTTGTTGTACAAATTCCTCATCTGCTCTTAAGGATGTGCAGGTTCTGGGGCTTTTCATTGTTCCATCCTTTCCCCCAGGATCCCTGGGGCCACAAACCTGGGGAAAGATGGAAGCATCCCAGGGCAGATGTCCTACAAGGTACATTCCCTCAGGGTTCAGGTTGCCTTTGCTCTGCCTTTAGCCCTTGCATTTGTGTTGAGTGGTGGTGCCCAGCCCAACATCTGCCCTTGGCTGTCTTTGCAGCCCCCTGGGAAGCACAAGCGGGACCCGTCCGAGGTGAGCCAGCTGAGCCTTGATGGGGAGAAACCTCCGGACTCGCCCTTGCCCAAAGCTGTGAACGGCTCCACGGGGACTGGCAAGGACACCACAGAGCCACAAAGCCAGAGCCACAAAGCCTCGGACAAAGGGATGAGCAGTGACAGTGACAAACTGGGGAGCAACCACTCCACAAAACCCAGCTCGGCCTCCTCGGCCGCCCAGGACAAGCCGGACATCATCCTGCAGCCAGGACATTTGGGAAGCTCAGCGGAGGGGAACAAGGAGCCCAGGCCAGGCAGGGAGGAGAGGAAGAGCCTTGGGGAGAGGAAGAGCCTTGAGGAGAGGAAGAGCATCAGGGAGGGGAAGAGCCTTGAGGAGAGGAAGAGCCTTGAGGAGAGGAAGAGCATTGGGGAGGGGAAGAGCCTTGAACAGAGGAAGAGCATCGGGGAGGGGAAGAGCCTTGAGGAGGGGAAGAGCATGGGGGAGAGGAAGAGCATCGTGGAGCGACCAGAGAGTGTTTTCCTGGAGAACTTCAGCGAGGAGAAGCTGGTCAATGGAAGCCTGGAGCCCCTGGGGCCATTCCCCCGCTCCAAAAGGGACTCGGATTCCGGCAGCACTTCGGCCTCCGAGAGCATGGACCTCACCATCTCCTTGTCTGCTGACCTGTCCCTCAACAGGGAGAGCGGCTCCATCTCCCTCAAGGTGAGAGTGGTGCCAGAGGGTGCTGGAGAACATGCAGGAGGGAGGAACCCTTCCCAGGGAAAGCTTTCAGGGTTTGTTTCCATGCTGCCTGTCCCAGCTGGGCTCAGGCCAGCACAGCATTTACAGCGGGGTTGAGCTGTGCCAGGGATGGCTGGCATGTCCTCAAGGGAAGGAGGAGCGCGTGGTGGAGCTGCTGAAGGTTCATGTGTCCTCTTCTGTGCCAGGCCACTGAAATCTAGGGGAAGTCTGATGCCTTGTGTCTATTTTGTGGGAAGTAACCATGCCATGACCATCATTTGTCCTTGCTCACGGGTGAAACCCCAAATGGGGCTTCCTAAACTTTATCCATAGTCCATCATTTTACTGCTCTTCCTCAGTACACCTGATCCCAGGGAAAAGTTCATCTGGGCTTGTGCCTCTCAGTTTTCCCCACCTTCTCCAGTCTGGCCTGGTTTGTGTCAGCAGGGACTGCACAAAGACCTCCCAGGCTTCCTGGCTTTTGCTAGAGCTTGCTGGAGGCTGGGAAGGCTTGACCTGGAGCTGCCCAGGTCAGCAGGGCCTCAAAGAAGAGGCAAAATAACTGGAATGGTATTTGCTGAGCTCCAGGAGAAGAAATGTTGTGACTTAAGGGGGCAGAGGGATGTGTTGCACAAGATCTTTGTCACATTGCCTGCATGAGTGAGAACTTCCCGGCACAGAAACGTGCCTAAAAACCTTTCTTGGCAAAACCTTCCCCACCTCCTGCTGGGAGCTGGAGAGCCAACATCCCCCAGAGCAGCCTGCAATCCTTAATGATTGGAAATGTGATGCTCTTGCACAGGAATTTCCTCCTCCTCCTTTCCAGGACACCTGGAATCCTTGAGGAGGAGGAATGTGATGCCACACAGAGATTTGCTCTCTGAGTTGGTCCTTTAGAAGGGGAAATGAGTTGTTTGGGTTTTTCAGGGAGTAAGCCATGTGAGGAAGGTGAGGAAGAGTCTTTGGGAGGTGGGTCAGGTTTCTTCAGGGTGGAAGTCCCCTGCTCCATGGTTTAGTAGCCGTGCTGGATCTCCAAATTCACTGATGGTTTGTGCCCTTTGTGGTTTCCTTCTGTGTATTCCTCATGAATAACAGAGCATTAAAATTGCTCTGAGGGCTCCAGTGAAGCTGTTGCAGCCCTGGGGAGCTGCTTCACAGCCCCTCCTCTCCTCCCTGCCCACCCCAGGACTCCCGGCTGCAGAAGAAGACCCTGAAACGCACCCGCAAGTTCGTGGTGGACGGCGTGGAGGTGAGCGTCACCACCTCCAAGATCATCAGCGAGGATGAGAAGAAGGATGAAGAAATGAGGTTCCTCAGGCAAGTGGGGCACTGGGATGGAGGGAGGGCAGGGTTTTCCTCTCTGTGAGCTAAAGTCCTCGTTGTTGTCTTGGTCCCACTTGGACAGGGGAAGGAGGGATTCAGCTCAAGATGCAGCCAGACTGGGACAAGGGGAGGTTTGTTGTGGCTGGCTCTGTCCTCTGGGAATGACTGAATGTGTCCCCAAGGCTGCAGATGCCTGGCTCAGTGGAAATTAGCTCAGAAATCTTCTCAAGATGTTCCTCTCCCTTTTGTTCTCAGATCTCCTCAGACTTCATTAAGAGAATGGCCAAGGGAGTTGTAAACTCCTGGAGCATTATTCAATATTCATGGGTGTATCCTCCCTCCTTCATGACTCTTTGCAGATCTTACAGCTTTCAAACCTCCCTGACTTACTCTCAGAAAGAGGAGCTGCTGTTTCTAGCACTAAAATGAAAGGCCCTTAAAATAATTAAAATACAAATTGTTTCATTTGATGCCCAATTCCAGGCTCCCTCGTGCTGCTCGCAGGGACTCCCTGAGAGGATAATTTGTCCTAAACACTGTGTCCCTGTGGCTGCCTTATTCCTCAGCCCCAACATCAGATTTATGTAAAAGCTCATTAGCAGAGCTCATTTACTGGTGAGCTGGATGAGGAGAGAGGTGCAATGTCATCATAGATGGGTCAGAATTTGGGAAAACTGCCCTTTTTGCCACCCAGGTGTGAATAAGAATGGACACAGAGCACAGAGGCCAGGCCAGAGCAGTCCAGCTTGGGACTTGAGGACCAGTGAGCACAACCCCAGCTGGCACAGTGGGTATTTGGGCTGCTGGGGGACACCAGAGCCTGCAGAACCACCTCGGGAGCCTTGCCAGGGCTTGTTTGGGAAGCTGTGAATGCTAACAGGCCCAGCAGTTCCCATGAGCAGCATCCTGCTTCCTGCAGTGTCCCTGGAGCACTTCAGGGAGCTGGGATCTGCCTCCTGCCTGTGCTCAGAGCAGGGCAGGTCTCAGAACTCAGGACATCCCTCTGGATGCCCTGGATGGCTCAAAGCCCTGGCAGGAAGCCAAAGACACCTGGGAATTCGATCTCAACCCATGGAGCAAATTGCCAACTCTATATGAAGAATTACAAGTCACAAAAGTTTAGATAGCATAACAGTAGTTGTCACAGGGTGAAAGGTGAAATTTTGAAGAATTTTAATATGGGGGTCTAGGGGGACAAAATGGAGGGATCTGGGCATTGTCCTCATTGTCCTGTCCTTCTTCTTCCTAGCCTCCATGTTCTTGGTGATGGTGGCACTTTGGGATTGGTGTAGAGTAGAAAGTCACTGTCTAACATAGGTGATAGGTATTGGGACATAACTGTAAATATCAATATGTAGTTTATAGTATAAAACACAACACCAGCCCTGTGGGCAGGCAGTGTGCCTCAGACTGACCTGCAGAACAGATCTCTGCAGGCCAGACAGAAAATGTTTGAGATAAGAAATAATATACAACCTTGAGAACGACAGCCAAAGACTCCTGATTTCTTCTTTGACAGCTGGGTGGGGGAAAAGAGACTTTTTAAACACACCTTGGGATCATCTCAACCAGAGGAAATCCTGAGAGCAGGGTGCTGTGGGCTGCAGGAGCAGCTTCCACTCCCTGCTGAAATGCTCTGCTTGTGGATGGAACTACCCCTGCCCATCACATCCCTCCCACCCTGCCTGACCCTCATCTCTCTGTCCCCCTGCCCACCCTGCCCCTCTGCAGGCGCCAGGAGCTGCGGGAGCTGCGTCTCCTGCAGAAGGAGGAGCACAGGAACCAGGCCCAGCTGAACAGCAAACACCAGCTGCAGCAGGAGCAGATGCTGCGGCGCTTCGAGCAGGAAATGATGGTAGGAGGGCAGGGAAAACCCCTGGGAATTCTCTGGGAACACAGCTCCTCTGCAGGTGCCCCACACGGGGATGCTCTCAGGGTTGCAACAGCCTTGGGCATCACAGGAACCCCTCTGGGATTGGCAGCATGGATGGAGGATGGAGGTTTTGTGGGCATTGAGCACCCTGGGAAGCACTGGCAGCTTTGCCTGGCACGGTGTAGCAGGGAAAGGGTTGTTCTGGACTTTCTCCCTTTAATGATCTTTTCTTTTATGTCTGTTCGTGGCTACTGTGAGAAACAGTTTATAGTGCTGTTGTAATTCACAGGGAAGAAAAAAACTTTAAATAAGAAAGCAGCACGGCCTGAGTGTGACAGCAGGAAATCTGGCAAGGTTTCGAGTGTAAACTGAATAAACTGGCCTCACACACTTGGTCCCTTCTGTTGGAGTGAAGTAATACTGTAGCTAATCACAGAATGGTATGGGTTGGAAGGGACTTTAAAGATCTTCTCTTTCCATGGCACGAGGGCAGTGTTGGAGCACAGAGCTCCAAACTTTGTGAGGTGTTGGTTGGAAGTTCCCCTCCTCTCTAAAGAGGCTCAATCCAAGCAGGAACCACCCCCCTGCCCCTTTTTTGCTTGTTTTTTTCTCTTTTCACTTTTCTCTTCAAACTTCTGTAAGTCAACAAAGCAGGAACCCTAACTTTAACCCCGGGCAGGCCAAGAAGAAGTTCTACGACACGGAGCTGGAGAACCTGGAGCGGCAGCAGAAGCAGCAGATCGAGAGGATGGAGCAGGAGCACGCGCTGCGCCGGCGCGAGGAGGCCAAGCGCATCCGCCTGGAGCAGGAGCGCGACCACGGCCGCTTCCTGGAGCAGCTCAAGCAGATGAAGAAGGAGGTGAAAACGGGGGCTGGCAGGGAGGGAAGATGATTTCCTGCGCCTCTTTCTTCCTGCGAGTTCAGCATTCCTCGTGGCAGAACTTGGGAGGAAAGCAGTTGGTGTTTTATGAGGAAAGTCTTGCTTTTGGGTGGCTCCTGAGATGGTTTTGGGTGGTTCCTGAGGACTTTTTTGGGTGATTGCTGAGGGCCTTCTTGGTGATTCCTGAGATGTTTTTGGGTGATTCCTGAGATGTTTTTGGGTGATTTCTGAGGTGTTTTTGGGTGATTGCTGAGGGCCTTCTTGGTGATTCCTGAGGGCCTTTTGAGTGATTCCTGAGATGTTTTTGGTTGATTCCTGAGGTGCTCTTGGGTGATTCCTGAGGTGCTCTTGGGTGATTCCTGAGATGTTTTTTGGGTGATTTCTGAGGTGGTTTTGGGTGATCCCTGAGGTGTTTTTAGGTGGTTCCTGAGGTGCTTTTGAGTGATTCCTGAGATGGTTTTTGTGATTCCTCAGCTGTTTTGGGGTGATTCCTGAGATGTTTTTGGGTGATTTCTGAGGTGGTTTTGGGTGATTCCTGAGCTGTTCAGTGACTTGAGGTAGGGCTGCTCCTGGCCTAAAGTGCCCTGCAGGGAAATTTAATTTCCTCCCCACAGGTCAAGAACGAGGTTGAGAAGCTTCCACGGCAGCAGCGCAAAGGGAACCTGAAGGCGAAGATGGACGACTTCACCCAGAAAAAACAAACCATGGTGAGACCCAGGGAAGATGCCCCCAGTTCCAAGACTGGGAAACGTGCAGTAGAATAAAGCACCCCTCCTGCTGGAGGGACTGGCAGGTTCTGGTACACCAGCAGCTGCTGTCCAAGCTGCAGCAGGAGAGCTCATGGTGGCACTGCTGGTTTGTTAACAGGAACAGGAGTTTTTGGCCAAGCAGAAGGAGGACCTGGAGCAGGCCATGAAGAACATCATTGCCCAGAACAAAAGAGAGATCTGTGACAAGGAGCGTGAGTGCCTCAACAAGAAGCAGCAGCTGATGAGAGGTGGGTGGCAAAGGCTGTGAGGGAGGGGAGGGAGTGCTGCAGCCATGGGTTTATCCAGCCCTGGCTCTTCCCACGCAGCAGATGCTGTGACAGAGTTGCAAGCTGGCAGGATGGGATGTGGAAAAAACCAGCCTTGCCAGGTCCTGTCTAAATGTTTAACAATAATAATACTTAGTGCTTTAATCTTCAGAGTGCTTTACAAATATGAACCAATTAGGCTTCATAATTGCAAAAAATCAGGTTCCCATATGGTTTGCAACCAGTTTCTCTTGGAAAACAGGAGGTGAATGATCAACCCCAACATCTGCTGAGCTGTTGGTGTGCACAGAGGTGTCTCGAGCTTGGGAGACTTTGTGTGACCAGGATGGGAGGCCAGGGTGGGTGATCTCCTGCTCCTTCTCCTCCCCACAGACCGGGAAGCTTGCATGTGGGATCTGGAGGAGCGTCAGCAGCAGGAGAAGCACCAGCTGGTCAAGCAGCAGCTGAAGGACCAGTATTTCCTCCAGAGGCACGAGCTGCTCCGGAAGCACGAGAAGGTGAAGGCTTTGCACCTTCCCATGCTGGTGTGGGTCAGCAAAGTGTCCAGGTGTCCCTGGGTGTTTCTCTTCTCTTCTTTCTGAAAGGGGGGAAATCACCAAGGTTGTGTTCCATCCCTAAATGGGCCATTCACTTAAGAGTTGGACTCAATGATCCTTGTGGGTCCCTTTAAACTCAGCATATTCTGTAAATTCTGTAAATTCTGTAATTCTAAGGGTGGGTTGGGAGTTAAAGGGCTTGGTCGTTATTAGTAAAAAAGGACCAGAGTACAGCTGGTGTCAAGAAGGCAATGAAGCCTTTTTTCCTGGGACATGTGCTCTGTGTTGTGTGCATTTAATGTGCAAGAAGTTGGGAATTCTGGGGGGCTTTAATGGAAATCTGCCACTGCTCAGGATTTGGCATGGTTGCCTCTCAGAGCATGGAGTGAAGACTGGCACTTCCAGCCCCTTCTCCTCTGCTTTCCCAGCATGTTCAGTCCTTGCCATCCCCTCTTGTCCCTTTGGAGTGTCACCAGCCACCTTCAGACCACTCCCAAATCTGCCCTCCAGCTGTCCCCGTTCCCCTCAGGGCTGTGGAGGTGTCCTCCCCTCTGAGCCCTGTGTGCCTGCAGGAAAGGGAGCAGATGCAGCGCTACAACCAGCGCATGCTGGAGCAGCTGAAGGTGAGGCAGCAGCAGGAGAAGGCCCGGCTGCCCAAAATCCAGCGCAGCGAGGGCAAGACCCGCATGGCCATGTACAAGAAGAGCCTGCACATCCACTCCAGCGGCAGCGCCTCCGAGCAGAGGGAGAAGATCAAACAGGTCAGGGCCTGAAAAGGCACCAGGAGCTGAGGCTTGGCTTGGCTCGGTGGGGGGAGAAAGCTGCATTTTCCCAAATTTCTGTTTCCGGAGTTTAACTTACTGCTGGTTGGAGGGCTGGGTGTTGTGGTGTCACGTGTGGTTTTCGGCGCTGCCTCCATCGTGATTTGTGCTGGGAAGCAACACAAATTCCTTCTTTCCTGTGCAATAATGGAAGCTGGCTGGTCTCTCAGGCAGCCCCAGAGACCAGGGCAATGCTGCCTACACTTTGCTTTTCTGTCTTCCAGTTTGCTCTGCAGGAGGAGAAGAGGCAGAAAGCAGAGCGGCTGCACCAGCAGCAGAAGCACGAGTCACAGATGAAGGACATGCAGGCCCAGTGTGAGAGCAACACCAACGAGCTCCAGCATCTCCAGGTACTCATCCCTCATGGCTTGGTCTGCCATGGCTGCCTGGCAGGGCTCAGCCTCTGGAGAAGTGGCTGCAGAGGACTGTCAGGGGTTGGTGTCCCCTTGCTCTTGCCTGAGAGCTTTTTGTTGCCTTTGTCTAAACATTGTCTAAGCTCAGAGCTCTGAATGTCTCTGCCCAAGACATCGGGTCTAAACATGGAGCTCAGATTGTCTCTGCCTAAGACAAATCCTGTTTGACTGTAAGAAATAGATGTAACTAAAGGTGATAAGCCAAGAAACACTTATAATTAAGAAATAATTAGTATGAGATTGTAATAGCATAAATATAACATCTGCATTGTCTCACCCTTCACATGAGACTGAAAATGGAATAAAAGTTTTTAAAACACCTCTCAGTTACCCCATCCCTAAATCAGAAAAGAGCTTAATCCAACATTTGACCACTGGATGTACAGCTCCAGCTGCTGATGGGTGTTGTGTTTGCTGGTGTGTTTTTAGAATGAGAAGTGTCACCTCCTGATCGAGCACGAAACCCAGAAGCTGAAGTCCCTGGATGAGAGCCACAACCAGCACATGAAGGAGTGGCGGGACAAGCTGAGACCACGGAAGAAGGTGGGTTGTCCTGGCTGGGAGCAGGGTGTGCTGGCTGGCTGGAGGGTTTATTGGTGGCTTTCCAGCGGGGTTTGCCCAGGGTGTGCCTTGGCCAGGATAGCTGAGTCCTGCTCAGCACAGCCTGTCCGAGCTCCCAAGCAGCTCCCAGCCACAGGCAACCTTAGCAAGCTCAGTGATATCAGCTCTTAGTGATTATCAGCTCTTTGTGATTTCAGCTCTGTAGCTTGCTAGGTGCCAGGCAGACACAGGGAGAGAGAAGAGAAGGCCGTGTGAGGTTCTGAAGAATTCTTTGTTTGGGTCTTCCATGAAGTTCTCAGTGACAGCTCTTCTACTGAGCTGGGCAGAAGTAGGGGTTTATATGCCTTACAGACGTTTTGGAAATTGTCCAATAGTAAGGGTCAAAGGAAAGTGACCTACAGGCTTACAGAGAGGTAAGCAAGGGTCCAAAGGTGGAAGAGAGGGGCTTCTAAGGCCCAGTCATCATGACTTGGCATTTCCCACCTTAGGCTTCTGGCCTCCAAGGAGGCATTGCAGGCCCTGGGCCTGCTACAGGAGGGGACAGTGCCCACAGCTCCAGAACCATCTCAAACACAGCTCTTGTGTTGTTCTCTTTGCTCAAGGCCCTGGAGGATGAGCTGAACCAGAAGAAGCGTGAGCAGGAGATGTTCTTCAAGCTGAGCGAGGAGGCCGACGGACAGGTGCCAGTGTCCCCCAGCAAACACGCCAAGTTCGTCCCCTTCAGCTCCTCAGAGAGCTTGTAACACCTGGCAGGCCACCAGCTGGTACTGGCCGTGTCCTCCTGGGCTGCAGGGGGCAACTTGGACTGGGAAGAGCCAAGGGGAAGCAGCCCCTTCTCACCACAGCAGCCTCCTGTCCCCGCGCTCTGCCTGGGATCAACGTGGCCTCTGCGCTGAGGGATGCTGGCTGCAACTTGGGGTGGCTTTCCCAGGAGCTCCGGGCTGGGAATTGGGGCAGGACCCTCTCTGGATTGTACTTGCACTGATGGCTGGATGCTTCCTGGGTGAGCCTGGTGCTCACTGGGTTTGTCAGCTCAGACTGGAGCAGTGACCACTCTGACCAGGAGAAACAGCCCCTCAGGGCAGGGCTGTCACCTCCCTCTCCACCGTGGCTGCTCCTGTCCCAGTCCTTTGTAAGGCCTGGCCTGGGGCACAGCAGCTCTGGCATTGTCTTAAACTCACCTTGGCCTTAGACTTACTCCTCTCCACCGTGGCCCTTTTATTGCCACAGAGAGACAGAGATTTGGGGTTTTTTTTGCCTAGGGAGGGCTGGGTTTTTTCTTTCCTCCTGCTCCCCACGCAGACTGCACAGAAAGGCACTGGATGGCCTCCCAAAGATGCTTCTGCTCTTCCTTTGCTGTCACAGTGGCACCACAGCCCCTCTGGCACTAGCTCTGTTTCCAGAGGCTGGCTGTGGGCTGCAGGCTTTGCTTTGAGGCAGTGCAGGTGCAGAGGGGACGTTGGGGACAGCGCTCGGCCCTGCGGGGACACGGTGGAGTGGCTGTCACTGCCACGTGCCTTTGGGAGGAGGGGGGTGAAGGGTGTTACAGCCACACTCTCATGATCACACGGGCGCTCGAGGCTGGTTTTTAAGTGGTTTCTGTGTGGGGCCATGTGGGTCAGGCAGCCTGGCCAGGGGGTTTTGGCTGCAGAGCATCCTTTGGGAGGAGCGAAGGAGCAGTGGAACACGGGAAGAGGAGATCCAAAGTTGCTCCCAGCATCTCCTTGTCCACTGATGTCTCATCTCCCTGTGATGTGCACAGCTTTTTGGATGGTTCTCCTGGCTGGGTGTCGTGGCAGAGTGGCAGAGCAGGTCCTCTGTCCTTTCTGTCCCCTCCTCCTGCACAAGGCAGGGCTGTGCTGAGCTGCTGGGTGGGACTGGGAGCACAGAGCTGGGGAGGGGTCAGGGACCTCACTGGCAGCACCTTCTTCTTTACACGACCCAAAGGTGTAAGGCAGCACTTAAAGTTTTTTTTTCTGGACAACATTGTTTGTTTTAGACCTGTTTCTTTAGCAAGAAAAAAATATTTCTGCTTTAAAAAAAAAAAAGGAAATAGAAGAAAAAGTTGTTATTTTCAAGTCCCCTCTGTTGATTTACTGGCATTTCAGGGAAAGGTGGTTGTGATGTGCCTCACTTCTAGGTACTGGCTGAAGGAGGCAGCCCCCAGGTCTTTCTCTGGATCTGGGGAGGGCATTCCCTACCCTTTTAGAGCTCCTAATCCATATTTATAAGCTTCCTGCAAGCTAGCAAGGCTCTGTCACTTCGGGCCATTCCAGGTTACCTCTGATGTCACAGCAGTGATGTCTCTGTTAATGAACACAGGAAGGGTTCCTGCCCCACCTCCAGAAGTGTGGATTGTGCCTTCCAGATGTGAAAACACCGGGCTGGGAGCTGATGGGAGGTTAACGAATGCCAAGGAATGTTCCTAAATGGGACAAGGGGCTGATTGGAGACTTCTGACCCCCTTAGGAATGTGCTATAGCAGCCGCAGTGGTTCTGGTTCTGGTTCTGGTCCTGCTGGAGCTGTTCTGTGCAAGGGCTGTGTGCCAGGAATCAGAGCCTGTCCCTGAGGGGCCCTGAGGATGCTGTGCTGCAGCAGCACCCTGTCAACCCTCAGCTGAGGGGCTCTGCTGCCTTCTCCAGCAGCTCAGGCAGCACCACCCCTCTCTGGACACCCTGCAGCCACCAGGAAAGGTTTTCTGGGGGCTCTCCAAGCTGAGGCACTGCCCCCGTGGTAAATCAGGTATCCCTTCCTGGGTGTCAGCTTGGAGAGAGCATCACAGCCCTGGTAAATCAGGTATCCCTCCCTCCCAGGGTAAATCAGGTATCCCTCCCTCCCAGGGTAAGTCAGGTATCCCTCCCTCCAGTCCAGCTGGGTTTCAGCTTGGAGAGAGCATCACAGCCCTGCTGACAGAGGCAGGAATGGCTCTGTCCCCCCGTTTTTGTTCTCTCCCTGGGTGTGCCAGGCTCCAGTACCGTGTCTCTCACCTAGAAGGGGTGCACATCATCTGACTGTTATGTTTACAGCATGGTTATCATTTTCTCTCCTTTCAAAAGAGGATTTTTTGGTTGTTCTCTGTTCAGAAGGAACCACAATTAAACTCAGCTTGCTTTTCAGGTGGGGATGGGACACGATTTTAAAAATTGTGGCTTCGAATAAAAAGGGTTTTTTAAAAATATATTTTGTAAAATATCTTCAGTGGGGCCACCACCACGATGTAAAGACCTCTCTAATAAAGTAACAGACTGAAAAACCTGGCCATGGGTCTGCTTTTGTGCCTGCTTGCCAGCTGTGACCTCAGCTCAGCTTTACTTCTGCTCTGGGTTTTACTGACTTAGAAAAACTGGTGGCATTTGAACTTGGCAAGGCTGAATAAAGGCGAGCTGGAGCCTCTCCTGCTGCTCGGGGGCAGGCACATCTTGGCACCCAGCTGAGGTTCTGGGCTCTGAAGGGAAGCAGCCGCTCCTGGGTGACTCCTGTGCGTGCTCAGATGGTGCTGGGCTGACACTGCTCGGTGAGGAGTGAGTACTGCACCCAGCAAGGCATTTCTGCAGGGATCCTTCCTCCTTTTTAATTCCTTCCTGCATTTCTGCAGGGATCCCTCTTCCTTTTTAATTCCTTCTTCCTGCATTTCAGGGATCCTTCTTCCTTTTTAATTCCTTCCTGCATTTCTGCAAGGATCCTTCCTCCTTTTTAATTCCTTCCTGCACTTCTGCAGGGATCCCTCTTCCTTTTAAATTCCTTCCTGCATTTCTGCAGGGATCCTTCCTCCTTTTAATTAACAGGGATCTCACACCAACGCTTCAGTTCCCTTGGTTTGGTGGCACAAGGAGATGCCTCCCTGTCTCCTCCCCTGCTCTCCTTTGCTCAGAAGGAGAAAAAAAAAATCATGTTTTGGCCTGTGGGTGCAGGGGGAAATCTCTGCCCCATCCCCTGGGCTGCTCAAGAAAGCTCCCACCACAGAACCCAAATTCCCTTTTTTCCCTGCTCACAACTTTTCACCTGCTGCTTCCATTGACTCCTCTCAAGGACACAGCACATTAAATCAGGGCAGCTTTGACACCAGCCCATGGAGCTGCTGTGGGTTCACCCTCAATTTTGGAAGGTTGTGCCAGAAGATGCCAATTTAACCTTGGATTTCCTGCAGCAATGACCCCAGGTAAGTGCAGGACCTGAGCTCAGGTGAGGTGCTGAAAAGGAGGTGGAATTGGGAGTGTGAGGTGGTGCTGGTGAGGTTTTAAACGAGCAGAGAGAGAAGGATGAGCAAAGCCTGAGGGTTCCTGTCTCCTTGCTCCACAAGGCAGTAAGGAATGGACTGGCTGAGGACACATAATTAATCATTTTGTTTATGTAGAGCAGGACTGCACTGGTCTCAGAGTATCCCAGGGAAGCAGGAGATCTCCTGGGAATATTTAACTTCATCTGCATGTCCTTGGCAGTGCCTGAGGGGAGCTTCAACCATGAGGCTTTAACATACATATATATAAATATAAGTACTGTATATTCCAGAAATAACTGTTAACTACCATTTCATCCGGGTGCTAGGCTGAAAACAGAGCGAAAGTAAAAATATTTCCTCATTTTTAAAAGCAGAGCTGACAGCCCTGAGAAGTTCCTGTTGCTGCAGCAGCTGCAGCATTCCCTGTGGGTCAGGTCCTGTCACATCTGGGCTCCAAACTCCTCTGGGCTGCCCAAGGGCTTTTGCAGTTGCTGATGCTGGAACTCTCTGGGGGAAGAAAAGCAGGGCAGGGAGGGCCTGGGGCTTGTGCCTGAGTGCTCTCCTCCCACGGCTGCATCCCTGCTCCCTTGGTCCCTGAGTCCCTGCAGCCTCTGAAGCCAAACGCTGCTGCAGTGGCAGCTGATTTATTCTCCAAACGCCACACTCCCCATGGCTCGAGCAATCCAAACCCCCCTGGAGGTGCTGGGCCTGCCTGGCTGCTGGTGTTTGCTCTCCTGCCCGGGGTGGGGCTGGATTTTGGGGGCACTTTGCCCATCCTGCACTGCTCCGGACGCGACTCCAGGCTGGCAGGAGCTGCTCTTCCTCTCGCTCACTAGGTGGCACAACGCTGGGCTCCTGAAGGGCTCTCTGGCTCTTTTCCCTGCATTTGGCTCTCTGTGGCATCCCTTCCACCCGATCTCTGTTTCTCCTTGGGGTTTCAGTACTTTCCAGTTGTTCTCAGGAGTTTCCCTGGGCTCCCCCATGTGAGGGCTCAGCACCCCCTGTGTGGGTTCTGCTCTCCCTGGGCAGGGTGGGTGCTGCCTGCTGCCAGCCTGGCTCTCATGGGTGGCACCTCAACCCTGCAGTTCAGGGGTCACAGCAGTGCAAAACCATTCCTGCTGACAGCTGAGCACCAGAGAGATCCAGCCCTGGTGTGAAATGGGAAATCTCTGCTGGGCTGGCTGCAGCTGCAGGGACGTGTCCTCTGCGGGGGCAGGACTGATCACTTTGGACTGATTTTTGGGAGGTGGCTCAGGGAGGATGGATGCATTTGTTCTGTACCCAGGGAGGACCAGGACATTCAGGCACCTGGCACAATCTCCCATTCTGAAATGGACGAGTGAGCAGCAGCAGCAGCATTGGGCTCTCCGTGCCAGGATGGCTGCAGCCAGCGTTCCTCTGCAGTCAGGCTGATGCTGGGGCACTGCTTTCTCACTCCACCCCCTCCCTGACACCAGGCAGACCTCAGGGACTGCCCAGCTGTGCCCAAACAGCTGGAGTGCACTTACAGCTGTGCAGAAACCCATTTGTCCATCTGAGCTGAGGGATGCTTTTTCACAAGTCGTTTGCCCTCTTGTTTTAAATTGCTCAGCTGATCCTGACAGGCACGAGGGAGAGTGCAACAAGCCTGACTCTCGTGTAGGTCGTGACCTCTGCTGTGTAGCTATTTTATCACAGTTATTTTATTTTATTTGGCTTCATGAAGCTCCAGCCTGTGGTTAGGGCAGCAGGGGATGAATGTTTATCCTGAAACTCCCTTCAGCTGCACCTGCAGCACCCTTTTTGTGGGACGTGCTGCTGCCACATCCCTGCTGTCCTGCAGCAGCCTCCCCAGAGGTGTGGGGTGGGCACAGGACCCTCAGACCATTCGCAACCCCTCCTTTGGGCTCCCTGACAAACCCTGGGCAGATTCCCTGAGGAATGGCCGGGGCACAGCAGAGCCCGAGGCAGGCTCTGCCTCTGCACAGTCCTTCCCAGAGTGTCTCCCCGGGGAGGTGATCTGGTCAGCATGCAAAGCCACTCTCACTCCTCTCTACAGCCCTCATTAGACTTGTTAATTAAGCTCTGGAGCCATTTTGCAGCCTGAGCTGAGATTGTCTCCAAGCCCGGCTGGTTCCTGGCTGCTCATTAGCTGTGAGGCTGCCAGGGCCCAGGAGTGATGGAATCCCCTCAGCAGGCATGGGGAGAAGACAATGCTGATGCTTAAATGCTTCTCTAGCTTAACTCTCCTTTTCAGCATGTGAAGACCAGGAATGGTTTCATTCCTCTCTCAAGCAGCTTTCTCCACTGCTCCACATCTCAGTGTACATCCCTCTCTTACCAGCTGCTTTGGGTGTTTTCCTCACCCTCCTCTGGAGGATTTGTGCATTTCTCAGGGCTTTTAAACAGGTAAAACCTCCTCTGCTCCAGCCTGGACACTCCACACAGCACCAGCAGCTGCAGTTCCAGATGTTGGTGCTGTCCCAGGCTCTTCATGAACGATTCCAGCCCCAGCATCCCACATGAATGCCACAAGGACAGAAGGAAGGGAGCATTCCACAGCTCACCTCCACATCCTCCTGCCTTCAAAACACATCTGACTGAGCAGTGGTGCCTGGGGCAGGGGTGGGGTGATGTGCGGTAACCCAGAGCTGTGTCTGCACCCCAGCAGGTCACCAGTGGCCTGATGTCCCCTTCAGACAGCCCAGCAAGCCTCCTGCGGGGACACTGCGACCTGGGGCTTTGCTGAGGGGGAGGAGGATGAAGACGAGCCCTTGGGGAGGGGCAATGGAGCCCTGGCAAACTGCCTGCACCTCCATTAATCCTCTGGGGTGGCTGTAGCAAAGTTAACAGCATTAAAAAGAGCCACATTTAAGGAGCCGCTAAGGAGTGAGATGAGTTGTTTATGATTAAATTAAATTCATATGAAAACTAATGACCTGCCAGTGTAAGCCTTGAGTAACTTTATAATGTAATTAAAAGCCCAACGGGGGAGAGAGCTGTGGTTATGCCACGTGTTGAGGAGTGCTGGGAGCACGGAGGCCATGGGCAAGTGCTGATGCAGAGAAGGGCCTGGGCACTGCCCTGGCTCCTCTCCTGGCACAGAGGGGGGGTGGGTGCAAGGAGACAGCTCCTGGCTCACAGGGATAGAATCATGGACTGGTTTGGGCTGGAAAGGACATTAAAGATCATCCCAGTTCATAGGCAGGGGTACCTTCCACTATCCCAAGTTGCTCCAGCCTGGCCTTGGATGCAGCCATGGATGGAACTTCCCTGGACAGCCTGTGCCAGGCCTCACCACGCTCACGGTGAAGAATTCCTTCCTGGTATCTGATCTCAGCCTGCTCTCAGCTGGGAGCCATTGCCCTGGTCCTGTCCCTGCACGCCCTTGCCAGCAGCCTCTCCGTGCAGGTGTGAGGGTGTCCCGGGCACGGCAGCTCCGGCCTGACCAGGACAGGCCTTTCCCCTCATTTCCTGCCTGCCCGGGACGCGGCTGCCACCGGGCAGCGCTGCGGTGGGACAGGAGCACCACCAGCACGGGGTGAGGGGCTCACCACGCTCAGGGAAGGAGAGCAAACGGGGGCCGCGGCCCGGGAGAGGCACCGCGCTCTCCGAACCACTGTCTGCCGCAGCACCGAGCACGGAGCGGGCACAGCGGGCACGGAGCGGGCACCCTGGGCACAGAGTGGGTACACTGGACACGGAGCAGGCACAGCGGGCATGGAACAGGCACAGCAGGCATGGAGTGGGCACGGACACGGAGCAGGCACGGCGGGCATGGAGCTTTCACACTGGGCATGGAGCAGGCACAGCGGGCACGGGCTCGGAGCGAGCACACCGGGCACGGAGCGAGCACAGCGGGTACGGGCACACCGGGCACGGGCACGGGCACGGAGCGGGCACCCGGGCGGCTGGGAGCGGGCATGCAGCGGACAGACCGGGCACGGAGCGAGCACACCGGGCACGGGCACACCAAGCATGGGCACGGAGCTGGCACAGCGGGCACAGAGCAGGAACACCGCGCACGGAGCGGGCACACCGGGCACGGAGCCGGCACGGAGCGGACAGACTGGGCACTGAGCGGGCACAGCGGGCACGGAGCGGGCATGCAGCGGACAGACCGGGCACGGAGCGGGCACAGCGGGCACGGGCACACCGGGCACGGGCACGGAGCGGGCACCGCGGGCGGCTCGCGGCCGGCCGGCCTCCCGCCCCCGGAGCGGGCGGCGCGGGGCGGCTCGGCCGCGCTGCAGCCTCCGGTGCCGGCGGGCAGCGCCACAGCGTCCCCGCTCCCCGAGGGGCACGGCAGCGGCGATGCCCAGGCGGAGCATCGCCGAGGTGAAGGTGCTGGACGTGCAGAAGCGGCGCACCCCCAACAAGCACTATGTGAGTGCCCGAGCCCGGCCCTGCGCGAACAAAGGCCGGGCGCTGCCGGCCCCGCTCCCGCGCGGAGCTCCGGGAAGGGAGGACGGAGGAGGAGGAGGAGAAAGAGAAAGAGGGCGGCAGCGCTGCCGGGGGTGCCTCTCACGGGGGTCCCGAGGGGGTCCCGCGGTGCCCCTGCCAGCCGGGGGATGCCCCGCCGCTGCCCCCGGCCCCGCGGGGGATGCCCGGGGATGCGGGCGGGGGTTGCGCGCACCGGGCAGCGGCCAGGGCAGCGCGGTGAGGCTGCAGCTCGGCGCCGGGGCCCTGGGACCTGTTGGTCGCAGAGTCCCGGGGCAAAGGGACCACCCGGCTCCTGCGTTCTGCTCCCCGGGTGGTGCTCGGTCGCTAGGAAGGATCCCCCGTGCCGCCTGCATCCTGCCCAGCCTTCCTGCGTGCTCCGGGGCATCTTCCAAACTGTTGTGGGTTTGTCTATTTTTGAAGGTGGTTTTATTTTTTTAATTTTTTTTTTTTTATAGTTTTAACTTTGGTGTGTTTCCAGGCACCCGTGGAGAGCTTTGGGTGAATCCTGGCAACAGCCATAAAACAAAGACCGAAATGTTCTTCCTCCCGTTCTGCCGTAGCCCAGGGTGACCCGGTGACACCCGTGCCACATTGGGGCTGTGCAGATGTGCTCTTTGCTCTGGCCGCAGTCAGTTGTCACAAGAGCCAGGCTTTCAGAGCTTTCAGGCTTCTCCAGGTCCCCTCGGCTGGTTTGTGGCATGGAGCAACAATTGGAGGAAAGCCGAGGGCAGCGGGGTCTCTCCTCGCATCAGCGATGCGGCGTGCCCGCTGCCACCCTCCCCTTATCTCCCCTTCTTCCCGCTGCCCTGCCCGGAGCTTTGGCAGCCCTGTCGCCGCTCCAATGTGCGGATTTTGGCTGCTTGTCCGTCTCAGCCCCGCTCACCGCGCGGTGCCTGCCCCGCTCCGGAGCCGCGCGTACGTGCGGAGCTCTGCGCGCTGCTGTTTGTCCTGGCGGATCCGCGGCCTCGCCGCCGTGCCCCGTTCCAGGCCGGGCTGGGCTGGCTGCGGGAGCTCCTGTGCTGTCCCTGCGGTCCCTTCAGCGCCGCTCGGGAGCGGTGTCCCCGCGGCAGGGATGCGCTGCCGGTGCCGCACGCCGGCTGCCTTGCGCGGGGAGCCGGCTGGAGTTGGGAACGGCACAAATAATCCCTGAGAGGCTGCAGAACCGGGAGAGAGCTGGATGGCGGGGCAGAGGGTGGGGACAGGGAGCAGGAGCTCCGGCTGTGACAGAGGCGGCCGCCCCAGCCCATCCCTGCCTCCAGCCCATCCCTGCGCCTCCAGCCTTTCCCTGCTCCTCCAGCCTTTCCCTGCGCCTCCAGCCTTTCCCTGCTCCTCCAGCCTTTCCCTGCTCCTCCAGCCTTTCCCTGCGCCTCCAGCCTTTCCCTGCTCCTCCAGCCTTTCCCTGCGCCTCCAGCCTTTCCCTGCACTTGGCTCGGACCGAAATCCAGCAGCAGGAGCCAGCGTGGCTCGCAGGGAGAGGGCTGAGCCCAGGGAGGGGCCGGCAGCCTGGAGTCAATGGGAGCGCTCGCCTTGCTGGAGGAATCAATAGAGCCGGGCGGATTCACAAAGCCAGTTAATTATATGAAACCAACCCTTTTCCCCCCCCCACCTTTTTCCTCCTGCAAAGAGAAAGAGAGGCAGCAAATCATGGCTGAATCATTTTAGACAGTGGCTGCTGTCACAGCATGAATCCAAAACAACCACCAAGTGTCCGTGTAAAACCTGTGCCCTCTGCCTTTTGCCGTCACACAGAGGTGCTCTGCCCCAACCCTGGGGCAGCACTCCTGTGCCAGGGGAGGCTGGAGGACTCCCTGTGCCATTTCCTCCTGGTGCCTCTGTGATGACCTGCCCTGCTCGGGCTCCTCTGCACCAGGCAGAGCTTTCCCTTTGCTGGACAAAGGTGTGATTGTGCTGCTCACGATGAGGCCACAGCACAAAGTTACGAATTTCCCAGAAAAGTGAGATCCAGCCAGTGTTTCAAAGTCCTTGTTGCACCTGCAGTGGGGAGGGCTGGCTCTGTTCAGGCTGCTGTGCTTTGCCTTTCACCTGGGTAATTGATACCACGAGAATTGCAATGCCTGAGACAAGAAGTTGGTTGTTTTGCAGCTCTGCTATGGAGCAGGATACCCAGTATTTCCCCAAATTGCAGGGCAAGCACCCAGCAAGGTGCTGGGCAGGTGCTGAGCTGTTTTGGGGCTCAGCTGGGGATCCAAGCCCAGCCCTGTGCCCTCAGACTCCTAAAAACTTGTGTTTTTAAGCTTTTCTTCATGGGCACTGCCTGGCAGGGGCATTGAGGAGTGATCCTCATGCAGGATGCTCTGGCTCATCCCCATTTTCCAAGTGAACAGGGGATTCCATCTCCAGGTGACATTTTCAGTCCCATTTCCCCACGCTCCTGTGTGATCACAGCCCAGGGGAGCTGCCAGCGAGGGCTCCGGGGCCATCCTGCAAATCAGGCAAAGTCCAAGAGGAAAGTTTAAAAATAATCATTGTGAGAGACAGAGGAGCAGACTGTCATTTCTCTGGTCTGGCCAAGTCTCTGATAAATGAATGTTTATTCAGAAAAGACCCAAAACAAACCCATAGTAGAAACAGACTGGATTTTCCTTTAAAGGACTTAATGTGGGACCTTTTTGTAGTGTTGTGTTTGTTATTCTCGAGCAGAAGCCCTAAAATAAAGCTTTTTCCTACTAAATCCAGATTGGGTTTTCTTTCCCTTGGGCAAGCTTCAGGATGTTTCATTTTGTTACAGCTGCAGTGTGTGTGTTTTCTATGTGTTAATAGCAGTGCCATTGAATCCCATCTCCATTTCTGCCTACCAGGAACATTTCTGTAGTTCCAGAGGTTTAAATAATTGTTCTGGAGCACCATCCAAAATTATATATATCCATTCAACAGTTTGGGTGGGTTAGATTTTTGGGAAAGCTGGGTTATGTTCTCGCAGGACTTCCATTGCCAGCCTCCATGTATCCCTGAAAATGGGGAATTTAAACAAAGTGTGCAGCATACATTTATTTTGCAACCCCAGTGAACAAGATGGCAAAGCTTGAAACAAGATGAAGACCTCATTAGTGGCAGCTGGGTTGTGAAAGTAATTAACAGCGCGTGGTGGAATCTGGCTAATGGGATCTACAGGTGTTTGAAAACAAATTTGAGGAGAACCACGTTCAGGAAGTGAAGGTGCTGTTACATTTTTGATGTGGAATTTGCGATGGGGTGGTGCAGGTGTCCTCTCTCTCTGTTCCTGCTCCTGGTGAGGCTGTTTGTGGTTTCATTCCTCGCGTGGCCCAGCCCTGCTGTTTATCTGGAGCTGATTGTGGAGTGTTGGAACGGCAAGAGGACAGAGCTGCCAATCTACAGCTTCCCTGCTTCTGCAGTGCCTTGCATTTGTGGGGCTGAAGGTATTTCTGAGGAGCACGTGCCCCATGGGCTGTGTTTTGTGGTCCCAGCTGGAGCAGAGCCCGGTGGCTCTGTCACGTTGTCACCACGTGCAGCTGAGCTGTTCCCGTGGATTTGGGGAGTTATTTCTGCCCTTGTGGATCGTTCTGGTTGTTTGGCTTCAACAGGGTGTCAGGGATGGCTTCTCCCCGTGCTGTCTCATGGAAGGGTGACCATGCCCTTGGAATGTGGGAATGTCCTGTGGGCAGCCCGAGGAGCTGAGTGAGGAAGGAGGAGGTTGGCATGAGTAGTGTGAAATCTATGCAGTGTAGTGTCCCCAGATAACCAAACTAGGAGAGGGAGACAGCCAGGGGAAGCTGCAGTCTGACTCCTGGTGGCCTCTGAAGGCTTGAGGGCTTTCTCAGCATCCTCAGTGGTGGTTTGCTGCTGCATCCTGTGGTTGTGCCTTGTCTCATCCCATTTCCTGTCAGCTGGATGATGCTGTCCCAGCGAGGCAGGCCACGGGCAGGGAGTTTGGCAGGAATTTTGCCCTGTCCTCGTGCCTGGCCCTGCTCTGCTCCCCAGAGCTCACCAGCCTTTCCTCCTCACCTCTCAGCAGAGCTGAGCATGGAGCACTCTTATCTTTGTGGATGAAAACCAGCCCTCAGACTCACTCTCCTCTGTTTTACTTCCCCAGACATGTTTCTCAAGGCTGTTGAAAAGCTTGAACGTGGCAGGGCCAAATCCTGCCTGGCCCTGGGCTGCTGAGGCAGGAGCAGCTCCGTGGGGAGGCTGATGCTCACCCTGGATTCCAGCAGTGAGCTGCAGCTCTGGGGCCATCCCTGGCCTCTGCTGCCCCCAGCTCTGCCCCGGATCCCCCAGCTTTGCTTTGCAGGGTTTCTCTGTCTTCCTGTCTCAGAGGGGGGCAGGAAATGGGAGAATCCATCTGTGTGACCTTCAGTGGGGCTGGGGCAGGCTGCCTGCATGTGCTGTGTGACTCAGGGCTCTGAGCAGCTTTGCTGGGCTGTCCTTGGGGTGCCAGCCTGCTGGGTGTGCCCTGGCCACCCCAGCCCTGCCAGGCTGTACAGCAGCGTGGGGGGAGAGGGTACAGATCCAAAAATGCAGGGGATGAGCTGGGGCAGGGGAGGTGGCTGCTGTGCAGTGCTGGCAGTGTGCTCAGCCTGCCTTGGCTGCTGGTGAGGGTCTGCCTGCCCTGCTGCTGCCTCCAGCCCTGCTGCCAGCCCTGCCTGGCTGCTCTGCCTGCCCTTCGGGTGGCATCCCTGGTGCCCTGCAGCTGGAATCCCTTCTCATGCCAGCACGGCCCTCCTCCCAGTTCCCCCGGCACAGAGCAGGAGTCAGGGGGTCACCAGCTGTCTGCCCCCTGAGCTGGGGGGCTCTCCCTGTGCTGCTCCCCATGGCACAGGAGCCCCAGGTCCCCTCCCAGCCCCGCAGGCAGCGAGGGCTGATGGAGAGGGGCCAAGCACAGCAGCTTGGTGCCAAGAACTTTCTTTGTTTCCAGCCACCTCCCTCCTTTTTCTTTTTTTTTTCTTTCTCTTTTCCTCTTACAA